TACCAGGCAACATCCTGGTGAACCTCCTCTGCACCCGCTCCAAAGCATCCACATCCTTTTGGTAATGTGGCGACCAGAACTGTACGCAGTATTCCAAATGTGTTCGAACCAAAGTCCTATACAACTGTAACATGACCTGCCAACTCTTGTACTCAATACCCCGTCCGATGAATGAAAGCATGCCGTATGCCTTCTTGACCACTCTATCCACCTGCGTTGCCACCTTCAGGGTACAATGGACCTGAACACCCAGATCTCTCTGTGCATCAATTTTCCCCAGGGCTTTTCCTTCTCTGAGGCAAAGTTTCTCTTCCTCTGTACGGCCCTGTCTGAGATGGTTTTTTTTGTGTGAGGGCGAGTTTCTGGTTCTCTGAGCAGCAGTTTCTGTTCGTCTGAGAGCGCGCATTTCTATTTCTCTGTGCGACTTTCTGTTTGGGTAACTTTCGGTTTCTCCGTGACTGGTCCTTTGTTTCTCTGCGAGTGACTTTTGTTTCTTTGACTGTGCGGGTTTCGGACAGTGGCAGTTTGGTTCGCTGTCTAATTGTTTCTATGAATCTTTGCCTCTGTCTGAGTGGCTGTTTCTGTTTACCTATCCGCAAGTTTGAGAGGTTCTGTTTCACTGCCTAAGTGATAGCTTGTTTCCTTGTCTGAGTGCCCATTTATTTCTCAGAGTTTCTGTAGGTGACCATTTCTGTTTCTGAGTAACGGTTTCTGTTTATCTGAGACTGACCGTTTATGTTTCACGGTCTGAGTTTCTGTTCCTGCCTGCGTCTAAGTTTCTGTTTCTTTCTTCCTCGACTGTGTTTGTTTCGTTGAGTGTCAGTTTCTGTCTCTAAGAGAGAGCGACGTTTTCAGTTTGTCTCTCTGCGGGCGAGTTTCTATTTCTGTGTACGTGCCTGAAAATGAGTTTGTTTCACTGTCTGGGTCGGTGTCTGAGTTTCTGAGTGACAGCTCCTGCTCCTCTCTTCACAAATAAGTTTGCTTCTCCCTCCAAGTTTGTTTCTTTCTCTCCCCGAATGTCAGCTGCTGTTTCTCTCTCCGAGCGTTGGTTCTGCTCTGCTGTCTGAGAACGATAGACTCTGTTAGCCTTTGTGTCAAGTTTGTTTCTCTGGGCCTGTTGCAGTTCCTCTGTCTGGGTCCGAGTGAAAATTTCTATTTCACTGCCCGAACGACAGTTTCTGTTCATCTCGCCAAGCTACAGTTCCTTTCTGAAAGTGACAGCTTGTTTTTTTTCCCTGAGTTTCTGTTTCTCTTTTCCATGTGTCAGTTTCTGTTTCTCTCAGTTTCCCCCTCTGAAACTGAATCTGCGTTCCTCCCTCAGAGGGAGTTTGTTTCTCCGAGAGAGAGTTTATTTCTCTCTCCCCGTGAGTTTCTCCGATAAGCGAATTTCTGAGTCAGTTCCTGTTTCTCTGGGTCTGGGAGTGAGTTCCTGTTTCCCTCCCTGGGTCTGAGTGAATGTTTCTGTTCCACTGATTGTTGAAAGCTGCTTCTTCACTGAATGTGACTGACAGTATCAGTTTCTCTGCCTGAGAGTGACAGCGTGAGATACACAGTAAAGCTCCCTCTACACTGTTGCCCATCAAACATTCCCGGAACAGGTACAGCACGGTGTTAGATACAGAATAAAGACTCCTCTCTGAGAGTGATGAACCAACCAGAGCAAAATGTGTGGAAAGATTTTATTGCAGACACTGGGCGACAGGAATTCAATAAAAAAAAACATTATTTCATTCTGTAAAAAGGTTGTTTGGGAACAGGGTGGGTGGGTGGGTGGGGATGCGGGGGGGGTGGAGAAAGGAGGGAAGGAGGATGGGGGCGGGAGTTTAAAAAAGGGGAGGGGAGACAGCAGAGGTGAGGAGGAGGATGGGGTCAAAATGACCCAACAGAAACAGCTTTGAAGGGGTGGGAAAGGGGGTTCGGGCTAGGGTTGAAGAACAGAATTCATCAGCTGGAGGAGGGTGTTTGGGGGGCGGGGGGGT